TACTTTAAATATGTCTACACTTTTAGCAAGTGAAGGTGCGGCAACCGCTAATCTTATTTCACTTTCCCCCTTCTTTCCCTCTTCCTTACTGACATTTTTAAAAAATATGTTTTATTGATTTCAGAGAGAGGAAGGGAGAGAGAAATATCAATGACTGATCGGCTGCCTCCTGCACGCCCCCGACTGGGGATGGAGCCCGCAGCCCGGGCACATGCCCTGAGCGGGAATCGAACCTGGATCTCCTGGGTCCTAGGCCGATGCTCAACCGCTGAGCCACGCCCGGCCGGGCCACCCTTTAAATTTTTTAAGCCACAGTTAAATATTGTCAGTACTCTTACCGAAGTTATTCAACCATTTGGCTGGTTGAAGCTTATGCCTCAGTTTCCTCACGGGAACGATATTGCCAAAGTCCTGATACTTCAGAACTATTGGTGTGTAACCCTCATATTTAAAGGACAGCTTGGCGGTGTCCTTGACTCAGTTTCCTTGGCAGTCCTGTAGGCGTTGCTCTACTCTCTTCTGCCCTTGAGTGTTGCCGCCGTCAGCCTGATTCTCTTCCTCATTGACGGCTTGAGTTTTTTCTGTAGCTGCCCGAAGATTTATGTTTGTATCTCTAAAGTCCAGTCATTTTACTAGAATATGTCTTGGGATTCACCATTCCAGGTCATTGTTCCATAGTACATGGTGCACCTTTTCAATTCATGAAATCAAGTCTTCCCCATTTCAGGAGAGTTTTCCTGAATTATAATTTTAAATATTTCTCCTGTTCAGTTGTTTTGAGTTTTCTCCTTTAGAAACTCCGGTTATACCATTGTTGGATCTCCTTTACGCATCTTCTCTATCTGTTTCTCTTCTTCCTGAATTCTTGGATCTCCTTGACTATTTGTGTTTAGTTTTGTTCACTTTTTTTTTTTTAAATCCTCACCTGAGGGTATTTTTTCCATTGCTTTTCAGAGAGAGTGGAAGGGGGAGAGGGAGAGGGAGAGAGAGAGAAACATTGATGTGAGAGACACATCGATTGGTTGCCTCCCACACGCACCCTGACCGGGGCCAGGGATCGAGCCTGCAACCGAGGTACATGCCCTTGGCCAGAATCGAACCCGAGACCCTTCAGTCAGAGGGTCCACACTCTAACCACTGAGCCACGCTAGCCAGGGCATTTCTAACCACACTTTGTATGGAGTCTGTTCTCCCTTATATTTCTTGTAATTTGGTCTTCACTTCTGAAATGTCTTTATCTTTGTCTTTCACTCCGTTCCTGAGATCTGCCAGTGTTCACAGGCCGTCCTTCTGTCTCGCACCCCTTTGTCCAGTTCTCTGCTTCTTGTATTTCTGCCCTTTGGTCTTCCTTCTGGTTTTGCCACTTTTAAACCTCATGCTGTAATTATGGGTCAGGGTTTTTATTCGTTGCGTGCCAATGTGGAATCTTTCCACGGATGCCATGTTTATTTCTTTGACAATTTTTTTCCTATATTTGAATTGTTTGCATTTTCCTGGACCGGCCATCAACAGGAAGTTGTGGTGGAAACTGGGAGAGGCCAGAATAATTCTCTGGGTTTCTCTGCTGAAAGGCTCTGTCCTCTGATTTCACGGGAACAGGTTGTTCCTTTAAAAGGTGCCCTTCTCCAGATCAACTCCTCTTTTGCCTCTTTGAACCCAACCTGGTTCAAGAGGCAGCCTGCCTTCAGCAGTGAGCCCCACCCGCCCCAGGGTCACTGGGACTTTCCCCTGCTGAGAGCCCTCTGCACCCCACAGTCCTCCCCCACATCCCTGTCTCACCTGCTGGCCTCAGGCGGTTGGGGCCACACTTACACGTGATTTGAAGTGAATGGGTTTTTCTTGCCCTAGTTTCCCTAAAGCCATAGCTTGTGGTTTCTGTTTTCTTACCCCTGTTGCTCTCTGTGACATCCATGGGAGAGGAAATCGAGAATCTGCCCTCTTCCTTACTGCTGCCTTATTCTTGTTGGGAAAGGAGCCTCCGCCTCCCTGCGTTCGTCACCTCCCGCGGAGGACAGCCACTGCCCACTCCGTGGCTTTGGGACGTGCGACAGGCTTTGAGGAGGAGCGTTTTGTAAGCTCTGCTCTGAAAACAGCCATCTTTACCAGGATCGTCACCTTCTAATGACTGCCACTCTTATTTCTTGAGTAGAAATAATATATTCCTGTTTGCCCTGAAAGGTTGGGGGAAGAGGGGAGACAGCAGACCCCTCAGGGGTGACCAGAAGCTCTAGGTATTGATTTTTTATACCTTCTTCATGAGGTGGCTCTGAGGCGCCAGGACAGAGACAAAGAAAAGAAGGGGTGTAGTGGAATGACCAGTGGCCTCATGCCCTGTCCTCACCCCCAGAACCTGTGAATGTGACCTCATTTGGAAAAAGGGTCTTTGCACATGGTACGTTAAAGATAAGGAATGATCCTGGGTCACCCAGGCGGGCCGTACATCCCATGACAAGTGTCCTCTGAGAGACAGAGGGGGGAAGACACGGACCCACGGGAGAGGCCATGTGAAGACGGAGGCAGAGGCTGGAGGGCTGAGGCCACAAGCTCAGGAGCTCAGAGCCACCCGGAGCTGAGAGCGGCAGGAGCAGTGTCCCCTAGAGCCCGAGCGGGAGTGGGGCCCAGCCGACGCCTGGATTTCAGGCTTCTGCCCTCCTGACCAGTGAGAAAACGGGTGCCTGTTTTGAGCCCCAAACTTTCAGCTGTGGGAAACTAATACAGGGAGCTGCACGTTTTTCTGGGTTGACTTCTGGGACGCCTGCCTCCTGCAGCGCCTCGCGGAAGCCTTCAAGGGTATGGGACAACCCTGCAGAGGGACAGGAGGGGCTCCCTGAGCTGTCCCCACTCGAGGCCCAGGTTCCCATGCAGGCTCCATCCCCTACTGCTGTGGGACCTTGGCTGAGCCCCTTTCCTTCTCTTGACCTCTGTACCCCCATTGGAATCTCTGGCATCCTGGGAGCCCCTCGGTCAGTACCCAGCCCAGCAGTGGGGTTTGGTGTGGACCAGGTCTGACCATCCCTGTGACTCCGTTCTGTTTGGGTCATGGTCACCCAGTGCTGGGCTGGACATGGGAGCCCAGAGAGGATCAGAAATGGAGTGCCCCACTGTGGAGGCAGAGGTGGGTGTTGGCCATGAAGAGGTGACAAGTGCCAGGTGGGAGGCCAGCAGGGGTCCGTGAGGCCCAAGGCCCTCCTGCCTTCACCAGTCATCACTTCTCACTCCCACTTTCTGCCTGAGAGAGATCCTGGGGTTTATAATGATGGGAGCCACAGACGGGCTTAGAGCAGGGGTGCAAGCACAGTTAACGTGCTAACTGGAAATGCCTCCCCGGTGCAGGGCTGGAAGGGGGAGGCCGGGAGGTAGGAGGAGGTGGTGGCAGCAATGTGCCAGGCTTATTTGATGAGGGCCAGGCCTTCATCCCCAGCTGCAAGGCCCATCCCAGGGGCCAGGAGCATGTTTTGGGCCTCAGGTCACATGGGTATTGGGCTGTGGCCAACTTGGCCCATACACAGGTTCTATTCCTGGGCTCCAACACCAAATACGGTGTTTCTCGCATCTGGCACCCTCAGCTATGGCAGTCTTGGCTCAGTGGCACGTCCTGCCTCTCCAACTCCACACCATGGCAGAGCCAGATCACCCCAGTGCCGCCGGGCCCTCAAGCAGCCAGGGCCTCACTCCGTCCAGCTGTCTGTCTATCGGCTTCTCAGTATGGCTCACATTTGGGTTGAGAATACTTGGGACCAGAATAGCCTCTCTCCCTGCCGGGAAAAACCAGGGCAGGGAACACAAGGTTCTTGGTTTACTTCAGGGCTCTACCGTTCAGGACCTGGCCGGTGGGGGTGGGGGTGAGGGTAGGGGCTATCGCAGGCAGCTCACCGACTCTGACCCCCAGTTTCCTCACTCCTCACCGGTTCTTTTGGTCACTCGTTGATTTGCTGACGCACTGACTCACTCATTAATTCATTCACCAATCATTCATTGAGTCACTCACCCACTCGCTCCTTACCTACACTATCACTCACGCAGTGTTTACTGACTACATACTAAGAGTCAGCCACTACTCTAGATGCTGAACAAAACATATAAAACACAAAAATGTACTTGTCCCATGGGATTATGTTCCAAATAATTATCTAACACAAACAAGTACAAAAAGGAACAGTATGTTAGAATAAGTACTGGGGAGAACAAACTGCAACAGGAGGCTACAAAGTGATGGGGGAGTTGAAATTTTAGGGGAGCTAGGGAGGGCCCCATGGGAAGGTGATTGTTGAGTGAAGGTGAAAGGAGGTGAGGGAACGACCTATGGGAACAGTGTTCCAAGCAGAAGGAACAGCAGGTGCGAAGGCCCTGAGATGGGGGGATGGGTCTGCAAAGGAGCAAGGCGGTCAGGGGTTGGGGGACATGCAGGACCTGGCGGACCTCGCACATCACTCAGGACCTGAGCAGAGGAATGGCTGGCCTGCCATGTAGTTTCTTGTTTTTTGAAACGCTGTTCTTTTTTATTGAGATATGTTAACATACAACATAACTGCTTTCAACAAAGTGATTCAGTGTATGTATATACTACCAAGTGATCATAATAGGTCCAGTTAACATACACTGCCATGTATTTTCAACGTCCCTCTGGCTGCCGAGTGAGCAAATGAATGAGACAGTCCTTTGCCTGTGTGCCTACTGTGTGCCAGGGATCGAGCTGAGCGCTGGGAAGAGAAGGCATACAGGCCTTGATGGCACTTTACGGAAGTCCATCTGGCCAACTCCCTTTTCACCCAGTGTCACCTGCCCGGGAAGCCACCTTCTCCGGGCTCTGCTGGCCTCTTTGCTGCAGTACAGCCATCACCTAGTATGTTACCCTTGCCTCTCTTCAGATGGCCTCCCACAGCCCGAGCGCTCCTCTAGGCAGGGCCGAGGGGGCGCAGGAATCCAGGAACAAAGGAGCCCCAGCGCTTTGAGCTCATGGCCCACCTCACTCTGTCTCTCACCATCTTTTGCAGATGGATTTGCAGGCACAGGGAGCATGTGGAAGAGCCGTGTTCGTGTTGGCAGAGGAGGTTGGCTGCTGAGCCAGGGCGTTTCTACAGGAGGCCTGCCAGGCTGCCCGGATCCCCACCTCACCGCCATGGGCCACCCAAGCTGGTCAGTTCCAGCCCTTGACGTTGTGACGGTTCCCTGCCCTCGGCCCTAGGGGAGGGCCAGGCCCAATGGCTCATGTCCTAGGCTCCTGGCACCACTCTCTGGCCGTGAGACCCATCTGTCCTGGGAGGGGTTGTCCCTGGCTCCCTGTGGACCCAGACCGTGTCCAGTCCCTCTACCCCTTTCTGCCCAAGTTTCCTGGCCTCTAAAGTGGAAACGATGCAACTGCCCCCTGCCCCCCAGGGTTGCTGAGGGCCAGAGTGGGTGTGCATTTGGCACTGTGCACTCAGCACTGAGTAAATGGGGGCCGGATTCTGTTAATCGTGAGCAGAGTCCAGGCCAGTGTGCATGACTTCCCCCAGCACCAGGCACGGTTGTGCATTGGCTGCACTGTCTCTCTCCCAGGCAGGACGGCACAGTGGTGAGAGCACAGACCCTGGAGCCAGGTGGCCTGGGTTCAGACCCATACCCTGCCACTTGCTGATTGTGGGACTCTGCATGAGTTACCAGACTTCTCTGTGCCTCGGTTTCCTCACCTGTAAAGGGGGTGATGATTGCCACCCCTTAGGGTAGTGTAACAGTTTAATGAGTTAATATATGTTAAATGCTGACAGGGTCGCCTGGCATGTGCATTAGGCAGTCGATATTGATTGAATGGATGAATACATACATACATACATGCAACCCTTTAGTGGGTTCTAGTGTTCCCGTCTTACAGGTGGGAAGATTGAGGCTCAGACAGCTTCTTGCCCCAGGTCTCACAGCTGCTTCATGCAGACTTGAGGTCACCTGCATCCCAGGCATTCACACAGTCGCACCCTTGGGGCTCGGACCCAAGCCTATCTTGTGCCTCCCAGCCACCTGCAGGGCACCCAGGAGTGTTCCTGGCTGCTGGGCAAGTGGGCACTACCCGGAGAGAGTGAGAGTCCAGGGGCAGCAGTGCTAGCAAAGGTCATGGACTATAGCACAACTTCCCTGTCCCTTTCCCCTGCAGACCTGAGTCTAGGAAAAGCACAGGCCAGGGCAGGGGCTGGGGAAGCCAGGGGCCCAGGAGACCCAGCGTGTCTGAGCCAAGGGCTTCAGGACCTGGCAGGCATCCTCACATGCCTAGAGTTCACCCGTCCTGCCTGTGAGCAGGCCCACATGCCAGCACCCAGGCCTGCCAGTGCCCAGGGCCCCTGCCAGAGGTCCCCAAGGCTACTTGGCAGTCCGCCCTCTTGGACCAGCTCCTGCTTTGTGGACTGTGGGGTATGTGCACCAGGCCTCAGATCACAGGCTGCCAGCCTAGCGTGCTGAGGGGGCCAGGCTCGGCCAGGCAGATACCTGTGACAAAGGCATTACTTGTGACAACTGCACATGCCAGGCCCTGCCCCGGGTCCCCGATGGCCACAGGTTATAGGTGGCACTGGCCCAGTCCTTGGGGAGCTCACAGGTGTGTCGCAGAGCACGAAAGGGCCTAGGCCTCAGTGCACGGCCCACTGCTCCCATTTTCCAGGTGAGGAAGGAGGGGGGGCTCTGTGCAGCTGGCAGGCCTGTGCGCTTCGGTGACCGGCGTCGCCGTCAGCTGCTGTCTGTCGGCAGGGTTTTCTTGGGTCAGGTAGGCCAGCAGCCTGCCCGAATGTGCCACTCATCTCTTGCAGACCAGCCAGTTCCTGCTGGGAACTCCAGGCGCCATCGGGGAGACCATGTCCAGGCCCCCGGACCGCCTGCTGTGGCTGCTGAGGGGCGCCCCGAGCCAGCGGGGCTGTACCCTGTTCATCATCAGCTTCAAGTTCATGTTTCTGGTCTCCATCATGATCTACTGGCACATCGTTGGGGAGCCCGGGAGCGGAGGACAGCTCTCTAACCTGCCCGTCAACATCCCCTGCCCCCCCTTGGCGACCCCCAAACTGCCCTCCAGCCCCCCGCCTCCGGGCAACATCTTCTTCCTGGAGACCTCCGACCGGACCAGCCCCAACTCCCTGTTCATGTGCTCGGTGGAGTCGGCCGCCAGGGCCCACCCCGACGCCCGGGTGGTGGTCCTGATGAAGGGGCTGCCCGGCGGCAACGCCTCGCTGCCGCGCCGCCTGGGCCTGTCGCTGCTGGGCTGCTTCCCCAACGTGCAGCTGCGCCCGCTGGACCTGCGGGCGCTGTTCCGGGACACGCCGCTGGCAGCCTGGTTCGCGGCCGCGCCGCGCCGCTGGGAGCCCTACCCGCTGCCGGTGCTGTCCGACGCCTCCCGCCTGGCGCTCATGTGGAAGTTCGGCGGCATCTACCTGGACACGGACTTCATCGTGCTCAGGAGCCTGAGGAACCTCACCAACACGCTGGGCACCCAGTCCCGCTACGTCCTCAACGGCGCCTTCCTGGCCTTCGAGCGCCACCACGAGTTCATGGCCCTGTGCATGCGCGACTTCGTGGCCCACTACAATGGCTGGGTCTGGGGCCACCAGGGCCCGCAGCTCCTCACCCGCGTCTTCAAGAAGTGGTGCTCCATCCGCAGCCTGGCTGAGAGCCGCGCCTGCCGGGGCGTCACCACGCTGCCCTGCGAGGCCTTCTACCCCATCCCCTGGCAGAACTGGAAGAAGTTCTTCGAGGATATCAGCCCCGAGGAGCTGCCCCGGCTGCTCAATGCCACCTACGCCGTCCACGTGTGGAACAAGAAGAGCCAGGGCACGCGCCTCGAGGCCACGTCCGGGGTGCTGCTGGCCCAGCTCCACGCCCGCTACTGCCCCACGACACACGAGGCCATGAAGATGTACTTGTGAGGGGCCTGCCAGGCCCCCTCCGCGTACCCGGCATGCAGTTGGAGAAGGGCCCCCAGCCTCTCTTCCTGGGGAGGCGGGAGGAGGGGTGGGGAGCAGGGAACTGGTGGCTCAAGAGCTGTTATTGGAGGACTTGCTGCAGGCCCTGGGGTGTGCTCCCTTCAAGCCAGGGTGAAGCTGGTGGGACACCCCTCGGCCAGAGTGCTGTCTCAGGGTAGAGGTGACAGGTGGTACGGGAAGGGGCCCCCCAGCCGGAATCAGCTGGAGGGAGCCGGGGAGCATCTGGGTCTGTTGGACAGCACGTGGGAGCTGTGAACATCACAGCATGTTCCAGGCATCGCCGGGAAGCCAGGCCATTTGGGGCCGAGGTGATGGGAGCAGCCTCAGAGAAGCCCAAGGAGAGGGGAGAGGAAGGCGGCCCCAGATGAGAGGAGGCCGCCTTGGGAGAGCAAGCAGTATGCAAACCCAGCCTCTGGAGCCCCGGGGTGGGGCTCTGCTCTTTCCTGGGTTTTGTTTTTTTTAGAGGCCCAGGCTGGTAGAGCCGGCCTGGGGAGCATTTTGGGGAAGGCCCTGTCTGCCACCCATCCTTTCTTTCCACAGATGTTGCAAGGATGACAGCTGCCCCCTCTAGGGGCAGAGGGGTATGGAAGTATTTTTGGCTTGGGAAAAGCGTTTTAAAGAAAACACTCCCACCCTGCTGGTAATAAACACAGGCAAATAATAAATATAACAAAAGTGACTCGCTGACATCCAGTGCCTTGTGGTTGATAAAACACACTCACTCGTACAGTACAGCCCTTTTCAGCTCCGTCCCGCTGATGGGGGAGCGCTGGGGCTGGAGGTGACTTCCCTGCCTAGATGGGAAGGACTGGGCCAGCAGAAAATCTGCTCTCTGTGAGTCCCCAGCTGGTTGGTGTTGAGGAAGCTGCCTCAGAGCTGGTCAGTCCAGCAGAAGGCCTCCTGCAGGGCTGGGGGTGCTGCCAGGAACTCTAGGGCTCTGCGTGCTGCGCTTTGCCAGCTGAGGGGGAAGTGTTTAGAGGCCTCTGGATTCTGTCTGCAGACGGTCTTGGGCAGCCTGGTAAGGTGGTGAGTTCCCTGGCTCTAGGCTTATTCAAGAGCAGGTGATGTTTTTGATGCAAACAATGGATTATATGTCATTTCTCCAACCACATTTCACCTACCTTAATTTTTCTTTAGAATAAGCAAATTTTACTTTAATAATACAAATAATACATATAACTATATATACTCAAACAAGCGAGATGACCTCTTAGGGTCAAGCATTGTTTGGTCAGTCACTTGGTCATCATATGATGTCTACTGTGTGTCAACATACAGAGAGATAAAACAGATACATGTCAGTCCCTCACCCTAAACTCTTCTCTGGCTCCCTGTTTCCTAAGGAACAAAGCCTACCTCCTGGGTCCAGCATTCAAGGCCCTCCATGACCTGTCCCCACCTCCCTCTAGAGCCTTGAGCTTTGCCCTCCATCCACACTAAACTATGTATTCTTGACTCCCTTCCCTACCCTAATGTCCACAGGTTGATTCTCTATGCCTTTGCTACTGCCTGCGGTGCCTTTCCCAACCATCTTCACCAACAAACTCCTGTTCCTTCCCATAAGGCTGATGACTCCTCCAGGAAGCCTTCCCTGATTGCCCCTCCTCTAGCCCCACAGCCCCCAGGCATCCTCCATGACCATTGGGTTCTTGGCCCATCCCTCTAAACATCTTGAAGGGTGGAGCCATGTCAAATTCCTCTCATGGTCATTCCTGGCGTTGGACTCAGGCTGCCAGTGGGGGACATCCCTGTAGTTTCCTGAGGGACTCAAGAAGTTCCTGTCAGTCCATGCAGAGCTGAGGCAGCTGCTCTGGACTCCCACTTCCCTGGGAACATCAGTAAGAGAAGCTTGGGCCCTCAGCCACCCCCACACCTAACCCAGAGGGTCAGACCAGGCCAGGCCCCAGCAGCTGCAGCCAGCTCCGCAGGAGCACAGGCTTCCCGAATGTTTACAGGCCTTGGACAAGTCCCCTGTTTTGGCAACGTGGTCCAGGAGGCAGCCTCCTTGCATCGTGCCAGGCAGGCTGCGGATGGGAGAACTCTGATGTTCCCGGCACCCTTGCCTCTGAGAAACTGGGCTTGGGGAGCCAGGGCACAGAGGTTCGGGGTTGATTTGTCTTCCTCCGTGGTCTAGTAAGGCCCCTCCATCCATCTGCTTGAACAGGGGGCTGTACCTCGCGGAGCCAGGCTCTTAATGCAGCAGCTGTAAACCTGTTGGCTCCAGCTGGCCAGAAATAGCAGCATCCCGGAGAAAAGGCTGAGAGGATGGCTGGGCGGGGCGAGGTAACAGGAGAAAGGCTGATTCATGTCCAGGCCCCAGGCAGGAAGGTGACCTCTGCTGCCCCAGGACCCCAGCCCCCACCCGCCCCAGTGCTACGTTCTTAACCTCCTCTGGGCTTGTAGCAACCGTCCTAATGCCCAGGGCAGGGTGGGGGAGCCCAAAGACCCCCTTTTCCTGCCTCCTGGCCTCTGCGTCCTAGCCGGAGCTCTGCCTGTTGCCTCTTTTGCAAAGAGGAGACGACGGATAGTACCTGCCGCCTCGCATGGTTGTGACGATCACATGAGCCAGCACGACACCTGGCATGGAGCACGTTATTACAGCACACCTCCATTTTCCACACGGGGAAACTGAGGCTCGGCAGGTAGGTGGCAGTACTGGGATTTGAACCCAGGCCTTGGCTATCCTGAGGAAGAAGGCTGGCTGGGGGAGCTGGAGAGGGCTCCTCCTCACGTCCCTGGGAAAAACCCATAGAACAGAGCCCAGAGCCGTCCTTGGGCACCCTCTGCTTGGGTCTGATTCCAGAGGGACCCTGGGCTTTATTCTGTCCCATCCCAAACTCACAGTCCCTGGCAGCCTCAGGCTGCCCCTCCTTGGAGTAGGAGGCGGAACTCAGCTCTCAGTTCTCGGAAAGTGGAAAGCGGGAGGGAGGGGCAGACTTGGGAGGAAGCCTTGCCCTGGGGATAGTAATCAGATCCTAGGAACCCTGAGGTTGGTTTCTGGCAGTGCTCACAGATGTCTGGGGGTTGGGGAAGATGAAGACCTATCCCTTTATTGGGGGGCAGTGGGTGGCCCAGCAGAGGAGGCCGGAGGCAGGATTGCAGTCAGCTATTTAATTAACTAACCTTCCCTGGCTGGCCAAGCACAGGCGAGCAGGGAAGTGGCTTTCCCAGCAGCTCTGGGCTAAGGAGATAACTCCCCTTGTTGCTATATCAATATTCAACTTCTTGTTTAAATATTAAATTGAATGTCCTCCGTCTGAGTGCGCACAGGAACCCAGGATGAGTGAGTAGCTTAAGGCTGCGTTCCTGGAAGTCAGGTTTCACGGTTCACTTGCTCCTAAATCTCTGCTTATCCTAACTTCTGGGCCAGCCAGTGCAAGGCATGCTGGGAATCCTGCTGTGAAGTTGGGTGTCAGGACTGGACGCAGCTTTGGGACCTGACCACTGGCCGGGGACTCAGGTTTGATCTGGGCTACCTGGAGGAAGGGGGTGGGAAAGGTGGTGGGCGAGACTGCATCTGGGGGGGAAAGGAGGGCGGGGCATCCCCAAAAGGGAAGACATTCCTCACAGCCGAGGTCCACCACCAAGAAACCTTGGAGCCCAGCCTGTCCCCACCAACTTCCAAGGACAGAAAGATCAGAGAGGCCTCCTGTTCTAGAAACAAGTCAGGTGGCTGAAATCTTGAGGGCTTTGTTTTCCCACTTGATGTAGCGGCTAAGGCACTGGGGAAGCTGCTCTAAAGAAAGACTCCAACCTAGAGCCACTTAAACAAGATAGAAGATTGTTTCTCACATCACAGCCCCAAGGCGAGTGCTCTGAGGCCCACGGGACCGGGACCGCGACCGCTCTGCCATCCCCAAGACAGGGCTTCCAAAGGCCTCCAGCTGTTGCCATGGCCCAGCTCATGCGAAAGGGAGAAGAGAGTGTCTTTGAGGAGATGCTCCTGAAGTTGCATGCCTCACCTGTGCTCACATCCCATGGGCCAAGGATGTTGGGAAGTGTAGTGTGCCTCTGGGGGGCCAAATATCCAGCCACAACTCAGTATGTTCTGTTACTAGGTGAATGACAGGAAGGATGGACACTAGAGGACTGTTAGTGTCTGCCATACATAACAAGGAATCTGAGGAAAGGGTGCCTCCAGGGTTAGTTAATTCAGCAGCTCATCAACATTTTTATATTTTCAAGGATCCAGTGTATTGACTTTGATCTCAGGCTTATTCCCTCATGGCCTCAAGATAGCTGCCACTGCCCCAAGCATCCCACCCTTATGCACTAATGCAAAAAAAAAAAAAAGAAGAGTTGTTCCTTGTGTCTAGGAAAACTTTTTCAGCTCTCTTGTCCAGCTGACTTTCCCAAACTCTCACTGGCTCGTTCCTACTCCAGTTACTAGCAGAGGGAATGGAATGACCAGGACTGGTTTACACCAATTGAGGTTGGTCTGATTCAGGGGCTGGGAAGGGCCCCACTTGGTCTACAACACAAGCTCACCTGGGGGCTGAAGAAAATCAGGGTTCCTTTAGCTAGAAAGAAGGATAGGAATGCTGTGGGTAAGGAGCCTCTATGCACACTGGCACTTCCTGCCCACCTGCTCTGCCCCAAGCCTAGCAGAAGACTCTTTCCTGCACATGATTTCATTCATCTCACCCTTGGGAAGAAGACACCACCTGCACTTTACGTATGAGGAAACTGAGGCTCAGAGAGGTTAGGAGACTTGCCTAAGGCCACACAGCCAGTGCCTGGTGAAGCTGGGTTTCAGCCCAGGAGTGTTGAGCTCTAAGGACAGGCTCCTTCCCACTGCAGGATACCCTAGCAGATGTCCAGCGACCGGCTCTACTTAGTTCCAAGACCAGCAGAATTAGCCCTATGAAATACTTCATGATGGTGTAGCTGGCAGAGTATTTTTGGAGCTGAATGCACGTTTCACAGAACCCTAAGGCTCTTTG